CACTTCTGTTCCTTTCCTGGGTCACATTCCTGCCCTGATTGCTCCCAGCTCTCCCAAGCAGCCCTCTGGGTTTGAAATAGCTGGCACCCTCCTGGCATTGCTCCCTGCAGCCCCCTGGTGCTCCTGCCCAGGCCTGTGGGAGGGGCCTGCTTGTACAGCAGTTGGGCAGTTGTGCCAGGTCCAGGTTGTGAAAGCAGCAAATACACGGCCAGTGATCCAGAGACGCCCTACGATATTGCGGGGTATCTCGGTCCTATGACTCCCGGAAAGTGGGACGTCCGGCTGGAGTTCCAGCTTTACTGCCCGCATTGGCACCCCAGCCAGTGCCCGTGGAACCTCCAGCCACTGCAGACCTGAGCTGTCCCCTTCACGAGCTGCTGGGCTGACATCAGCTCCCAGCGCGGGTGCTTGGGTGTCTGGTCCCTGCTGGGTGCAATGATCATCTGATCAGTAAAGCCACGACTGGTGTGAGATCCCTCCTGCCCGGTGCCCTGCCCTGGTGCTCCTGCTGCCTGCATTTGGATGCTGCACATTCAGCCCTGGGCTCTCTCATGCAAGCATCTTGCTTTAGGATTCACTCCCCTGGGTGACCTGCCCGACCTCAATTCTACCGCCTGCCAAGGCACGGCACAGCAGCTAGACACTGGGGACTTAGTGTTGTTAATGATCCTGGTATGGTGATACCCAGGGCCCCATTGCGCTGGGGCTGTAGAAACACAGCCGACTCCGTACTGCACCTAGCACAATGTGCTTTGTACTGTGTTATTGCCATGGCGACCAGTGCTAGCACAGTGCGCCAGCATCAGAAGAAGGGGTTTTTTTCTGTCGGGGGTGCTGGGGACGGAGGGAGAGCAACAAACAACAAGATCAGCTTCCATGGCTTTCAGTTTTTTACAGCTTGCTTGAAAGTATAAGTGGTAATGACAAGATGCTGCTCCAGCCGCAGGACGTGACGTCAGATCAAGGAGGAGCTGCGGCGCCAGCCCTGGGAAAAGGTGTTGTCCTGGGTGGAGCAGAGTAAGTGGTTGGGGGGCGTCATCCCAGTTCCCGAGCTCCCTGTTGCGAGGCACACAGTTCAGCTCTCCAGTGCTCCGTGGGACCAGGAGCCTCGCTGCTTACCCAGATCTTTCTCCCCTTTGTTTCAGCCCGTTGGCTCTGGACCAGCACCCTGTAGGAGGAGGGCACAGCTCCCATGCTGTCCCGGTAAGGGAGCGTGGGAGGCCGGGGTGGGCAGTACAAGCCTTGTACTGGCTGAGCTGTCCTTGGCACGAGTCAATGCAGGGAGCTGAGATGGCGTGGCATCTCCCAAGCTGCGGTGAGCAGTGCGGGTATGGACAGCCAGCATCCACCCCCAGGTCTCTGAGTGTCCAGCCACAGAGGCAGCCAGACAGCTAGCAATGGCTGGCACCCTGATCTCACACCCAGTGCCTGTTGGTCACTTACTGGCCAGGTCTTGTGCTCAGGATGGGCACTCCAGAGCATGTCCTGCGGCATGGCTCAGCACTGGTGGAGGGAAGAGCGCCCCCGTGTGGTGATTAACCATTGGCTGCAGTGGAGCTCTGCACACCTGCTGGGGGAACTAGGCCCGGGGGTTGCTACTGCTCACCATCTCCTGCCGTTCTTGTCCAGCTAACCCAAGGCTGGCTGATGAGCGCAGGAGGGGAGCTGAGTCCCAGGTCCGAGCCTGGCAGTGCCGGGGCCAAGAGGAGAGCCCCCAGGGTCCTGTTTACTCAGCAGGACGAGCAGCACAACAGACAGGTGCTGAACCAAGGCGTATGCAGAGGCCAGGTGCCGTGGGGCCTGTACCAGGTAGGTGAGCCTGCTCTGAGACACCAGCCAAGACTGGAGGAATGGCTGGAATCACCTGCTGGCAATGGAAGCTACCAGTGGACACCTCCCCTGATGTCCCTCTGCTTCCTGCACTGGCACTGAGCTGCTCTCGCTCACGGCCTCTAGCCATTGGCAATGGGAGGGGCATTTTCCCTTCATCTGGGAGATGGGGTGGGCAGAGATGCCCACCATTTAAATGGTGGGGAAGAGGAATGTCAAACTGCTCACACTCAGATCTGAGCATGATAATCTCTCCGGGCAGCTCCCACCCAGCTCCTTGGGTCAATGGCCTTGAACCAAACAGCAGATGAGTGAGTGGGGCCCATCAGCTCAGATAGGCCAGTCTAGAATGTGTCTCGCCCTTTCTTCGGAGCATCTCCAAATACCTCCCAAATCCTCACACCTCCAGGGAGACAGATGAGTCCTAGGATTCAAGTTTTACAGATGGGGAAACTGAGGTACAGCGAGGCCACCCCAGGAGTCCACGGTGGTTTCCACTCCCTGCCCTGTGCTCTGACCACTAGAACCAAGCTGCCTTCAAGCGGGAAATGAGCTAAGAGAGCCCTGCGCCTCACCCAGATCTGGGGAAGGCCAAGCTACAGTTACCCCATGCGGGCTCTGCCATGATTCCTGGGTGGGCTGCCTAGACCAGCATCTGAGCTGACGACTGGGGTCTACTGCAGACAATAGGGAGGGTATAATGGGGTCCCCGGGAACCCCAGTGTAGAAAGAACAGGATCATGCCTGGCTGCAGTGGTGCTGTGCTCAGGGGCCATCTTTCCCGGCAGGACGCCAGCCTGCTGATGGGGGGCTTCCGATGGCTTCGCCGCCAGAGGTTCGAGGGCCTGGTGAGAGGTTACCTGGCCCATGGCTGCATGAAGGAGGCAGAAGAAACCTTGGAGCAACTTCAGGGCAGTTGTGGCTGCGTGAAGGCGCACAGTGTGCTGGGGCGACTCCGAGCGCTGAGGCAGCAGGTAGGGCTGGCTGGGACGGCTCTGCAGCCCCGTTCCCTTCGCTCCCTGGCTGGAGCCCAGAGGCACTTTGCTCTGAACGGGTGGGTCAGTGGGTCTGTGGCCAGAGGCAGCTAGCAGGGTGTGGATGAGCAGGGGTGCTGGGGGTCCCTTTGGAGCGTGGGGGTGCTGGTGGTGTGTGTCTGCATGTGCTGGGGGCATGCTGGGTGGTTGGGGCACTGGCACTCCGTGCTTCTCCACACTGACCCCACTTCGGTTTCCTCCGTGTCCCTGGCAGAGGCTCCAGTGCTGGCGGGGCGAGTGGCACCGCAGCTGGGCAAGGCGGCTGCAGCTGGCAGAGCTGCTCAGCGAGACGCTGGGGCACGTGGAGGAGCGTTCGGGGCTGTTCCTGATCCAGCCTGTGCTGCCGTGGCCTGGCCGGTAAGGCCCGCTCACACCCAGGTGGGGGGGAAGGGCAGGGATCTTCCGAAGGGATCCCCCGTCCATTGGCATTGCTGGCTCAGGGAGCAGGGCAGCTGTGGACCCTCGTCCCGCCCACCGTCCTCCTCTGGGCAGCTCCCACTTCCAAACCAACCCCCCAGGGCCCCTCTTGTTCCAGCCTCCCTTGAGATCCCTCCTCCCACTGCAGCCCCCTAGGAGGTGAGTGGGTCTGGGCACCTGGATCAGCCCCCAGCCCCCTCTCCTCCTGACAGCCTCCCCAGGGCTTTATCCTGTCTGCTCCAGGCCGACTGCACTAACCCCTCCTGGAAGGAGCGACGCCCGGCCCCAACCCACTCCCAAGATGCTGGTGCCAGCACTGATGGGACAGGTAGGGTCCTGGCCAGCTATGGCCCCCCCAGGACTAGGCTGGGCGATGTCTTGAAGGCCTAAGGCTACCAGTGGGCTACCCCAGAGAGGCTCCTCACCCTGGGGGGGGGGCCCAGTGCAGCCTGGGCACATCGACGGTTTGGGGTCCCTCTGCCCCTTGGGGGAGGGTGCTGCCTGCATTGCCACTGGCCTGTCTGGGCCACATTTGTCCCTGGGGTAAGTGCAGGGGTTCAGTGTTGCTCCCCCAGATCTGGGTATGGGGCAGCGACACAGAGCCCAGAGGGAGAGGCACTGTTGCCCACACAGGATGGAACTGGCAGACTCAAGAGGCGACAGCTCTCCTGTCTGCCCTCCGGCCTTCTCTGCCCCAGTCGTTCCTCACTGGGTCCCCCTGCCACAGCCCTTCCAGGGGGGCGAAGGGAGAGGTGGGAAGCTCTCTGCCCTGGAGCAGCAATGTGGTGCCTGTGTCTGACTGCAGGAAGTGAGCAGCTCCCTGGCCACACGGGGTCTCCGGCTGCGCACCCCAAGGGAGGCAGGGCCCCACAAGCTGTGGAGCTTCCCACCATTGGGGGGCAGCAGGGCCTGGCCAGACCAGGACCTGGTGCTGCCAAGCCCACTGGTGATCACCCCGCGGCTACTGGAGATGGACCTCAATGGCTACCTGCTGCAGGAGCGCCAGGTGAGGTAGGCAAAAGAAAGAACCACACCCCCAGGCACCCCTCAAGGGGCCCAGAGCCACCACTCCTCCCCCGCAATGTCTTGTGCCTGAGGGGTCTCAGGCTACCATGCTGTCTCTCCCCTGCCCCCGAGGAGCCTGGGGCTGTCCCTCCCCCTGCGGTGCCGTCTTCCCATTGCCAAGAGCTGAGCGCATTGCCTTGACTGCACCCCCAGAGCTGAGTTGGAAATGTGCCCCCAGGTAGCCGGGGGGGCTCTGCAGGTGACTCAGGCCAATGACCAGCTTGCTCTGAATGCCAACCCGCCCCCAGGGGCTGGGCTGCTCGTCCTGTCACAGGTTTGGCTCGATGCCCCAGTGGGCATCGCTGGAGGTTCCAACTTCTGCTGGGGTGCAAGCAGAGCCCCCTGCCCTGTCCCACGAGCACTGAGTGACCAGAGTGTGTCATTAACACTCAGGCCACAGCTAAAATTGGACAGCGTCCTGCTTGGCCCAGGCTGGGTCGCTGCATATCCTGTGAGCTGGGACCCTAGCATCCATGCCCCCAGCCCCAGGGCCTCGTGCTGCTCCCAACGCTCATCCCTTTCTCCCCATGCCTTGCAGCAGGAGGAGCCAGCCCGGCCCAGGCCCAGCCAATCCCGGAGCCAGGCCCTTCACAGCCTCGCTGAGGAGTTTCCTTCCTGTCCGACGTGGCATGGCCCTGATAGGCCCCAGCCACTCGGAGAGGCCGAGTGCCCAGCTGTGACTCCAGATCGGCTCGCGATCCTGTGGGCATATTCCGGACTTCAGGACACAGCTTGATAAACCATCTATTTGAAATCAGCTGGCTGGGAAAGGATCACAGTCCAGAATGGCCAGACAGCCTTCCGCCCCTCACTCCCCCCAAAATAAAGACACTGCATCTACATGTGCCCAATCACAGCCCTTCTTTCCCTGCCAGGCCCCAATCCCCAGTGCAGAAGCACATTTCTCTGTGTTGGCGGCCGTGCTCTGGCCAGTACCTGGAGAGGACCCCCTGTGCTTTGGCCAGGATGGGGCTTTGGCGCTGGCCTGCGGGATAGTGTATGGACCGAGCTGGAGCTGTTCGGAACACTGCAGCCTGACCTGGATACTGGAGGTTCCTGTCTGGCTAATTGGGTTAGTTTGGGGACAAACAAGCTCTCAGGGGCTGTTGGGAAAAACAAGCAGGAAGGGGAAGAATGGCTCCAGCACAGCCACTGCACAGGACTTGAAGGTGCTGAGCGACAAAGCCAGGGCCCAAAAAGGCCCCAGGACAGAAGAGATCCAAAACCTGGAATAGGGTTTAAAAGGGACTCGTTCTGGAGGGATCAGGGGGTTTTAGGGGACCCAGGCAGAGCCACATGTCTGAAGAAGCTAGGCCTGCCGCAGCTACCCTGGGGGTGGTGATCCGTGGGCTTAGCCAGTTGTTTTACAAGCCTTGTTCTCAGCGTGCTTTGTTCCTACCATCCAAATAAACCTGCCTTGGGTTCACCAGGCTGGCTGCTCACTACGCGGCTGCTCAGCAATGCCCGAAGGGAAGAACTGCAGGGGCCAGACTCAGGCAGACCTGCTGGGTAAGCACAGTGATCTGCCGGGTGCTGTAGCCCGGGGGTTGGTCTAAGCATGGAAGACTCAATTGAGTCCCTCCCTGGATAGATAGTGACAGAGGCCTGGCACCAGAGGGGTGCACTCAGTGAAGCCAGAAGGGGACAGAGGCACAGTTAGCCCTGTTACTGTGACGCAGGAAAGTGGCACCGGCACTGGGGGAGTTAGGGGGTCCGTAGCTTTCCCACTTTTTGAAAGTGGATGGGCGGCCCCCGCCCCTCACCCCCCGATCAGGCCAGCATGGAGCCCAGTCGGGGAACATGGGCAGTTGTGGGAGCCACACAGACCTTCCACCTGCCCATTGGGGCGGGGAGGGCTTAGAGCAGCTCCCGGCCCATGTCCCCACCACCTGAGCCCATTGCACTGTGAGCAGTTGGAGGGGCTACTGCGGCTCCCCACAGCTGCCTGCACGGTTCTTACCATAGCTGGGCTGCAGCTCTGAGGCCCTGCCCCCCCCCAGCCGGAGCTGCTTCAAGGATAGCTATACAGCCAGGCAGCTGTGGGGAGCCTGGGTCCCTCCACCTGCTCTGGGTGGGGGTCTTGGGGACAGGGATACAGATGGGGGCTGCTTTCGGCCCACCCCAGGCAGGGGGTGGGATGGGCTCTCCGGACCCACTCTGGCTTCCAGCTTGGCCAGGGGTGGAGCCTCCAGGGGAAGAGGAGGAGCGGGGAAGGCTCTGATGCTCTTGCCACAGGACACTTATGCATGTGGACACTCAGCTGGGTTAGTTAAGTTTTGGCACAGTTGTAGGTTGGGGAATGGTAGAACTGGGCTCACAATGGATGGATGGCTTCCAGGAGTGGGGAGTTAGCATGACCTCTGCATGCAGCATTGGAGAGACCAAGACTGGATACCGTGGTCAACTGTGGTGTCCAAACCTCAAAAAGGAGGTTGAAAAATTGGAAAGAGGTCAGCAAAGACTTAAAAGAATGAGCCAATAGTTGCAAACGCTGCCTTAAACTTCAGATGCTCAATCTACTTAGTTTTCCAAGAAGAGATAAAGAGGTGACTTGATCATGGCCTTACAGGTACCTAGAGAAGATTTCTGCTCGGCGAAGGCTCATTGCTATAGCAAAGGCAGAACAACAGCCAGTGTCTGGAATCTGAAGCTAAATAAATTCAGACTGGCAGCGAGGTGTTTAAACATGAGGGCAGTTAGCCATTGGAACCACTTACCAGGGACGTCCTGGCAGGCTCTAAATGAAGGCCGGGTGTGTTTCTAAAAGATCTACTCGAGCTCAACCAGACACTATTGTCTCAATGCAGGAATCACTGGGTGAGATTCTCTGCCTCGCTTATGAGGGAGGCCAGACTCGATTATCCCAATGGGGCCTTCTGGCCGTAAACGCTCCGAGTCTTGAGTGTGAAGGGGCTAATGTCTGGCCAGAATACGCATAATGGGCCGGTTCCTGCTCCCAACATCTGAGTTGTGCCATTGATGTCCAGGGGAGCAGGATTAGACTCATAAGAAGCACTCGCAACATTCTGTCGCTTATGTCTTTATTAGCACTGCCAATAAGTAGGACTCAGAAAAGCGAAAGGAAAAGTCAGAAATAAACTCCTGGGTGGGAAAAGCATTCCAAAGGGGAAGGGAAGGTGAGAGGAGAAATGGACTATGTCCGTGGTGGCAGGTTAGGCGACAATACATCGAGCATTACAGTTCCTCCGTTCAGAAGGGTTAAGAATGGAGGGTTCTCTATCTTGAACTGTCATCAACATCGTCGTCACTGCTGTCATCACCATTCTCAACAGCATCAGGCATAGTGGGGCATGTGATGGATGAGAGCATATCTTGGAGAAGATTGCCATTTGGGGAATTCTTACTGAATGAGAGGTTAGTTTTGCAGAGAATGCGCTGTGAGGAAGAGAGAGAGAGAGAGAGATCATTGGCTGGTCAGGGGGATCTGAGATGGGCACTAGGGCTGGGGCAGCAGCCGTTTTAGTTGGGGCTATGGGGCTTGCTGCAGAGAGGGAGCAGGGGATGTAAGTTTGTCCACTTGCACCTCTAGAGTTGGAAGGTGCAATGAGGTCTTCGGAGGAGGCACGTCATACTGTGAAGTATCATTCCCTCTTACCCCCACCCCCACTACTGTACCTCTGTGTATCTAGGCTCTTACTGTGCCCATCACCAGGGAGTCTGGGCAAGAGTGGCCATCCTAGTCTAGAGCAGCACCTGGACCTTGGAACGCAGGAAGATCTGGAGGGCTGGAAAAAAACTGATGTTCTGCCAATATTTTAAAAGGGTAAATGGGACAATGCGGGTAAGTCTGACATTGCTTCCAGGCAAGATCATGGGAAGTTTGTTGTGGGATGAGTAATGATTAAAGGATGGCGATGTAATTATTGCCAATCACCATCATTTAGACTCATAGACTCATAGACTC